CATGGGATATTTTGTCGCGGGATATTTTGTCGCATGGGATATTTTGTCGCGGGATATTTTGTCGCATGGGATATTTTGCCAGGGGATATTTTGCCATGGGATATATTGTCGCGGGATGTTCTGTCGCTGGGATAATAAGACCGGGATATTTTGTCGCGGGATGTTATGTCCGGGATATTTAGACATGTAACCAAATATTGTTCGTTTTCTCTTTGTCAGCAATATTAGAATTTAAAGGAACTATGTACAGATGTTATACGTTAGTATCCCTGAAGAAACTTTTTTCTCATTAAGTGGTTTCGTTATTTCGCTAAAATCTCGAAGCTAACTAAAAACAATGTCCAACAAAATCAAAAGCCGTAAAAATATATCTTTTATTAATTTAATATTTCGACACATTCATCTCTATTTGCACGTGTGAATTACAAGCATAAATGATAATTTCAAAATTCTATTGAAGTAAGTGTATTGAGTGACCAACACCATAAAAGAAAAAAAAGGAATTCACAATAAAATTATTCTATGCAAAATTTCATTTCCGAAAAAATTATATATGAAAATTGGTAGATATATATTTTAGCTAATTATTGGCACTATTTTTTAGAATTAGCACCTATGCAAAAATGTAATGTAGAATGTATCGTGCCTTATTCGCAATTGTAACCGGCAAAAACGTGTTAGGAAAGAATCGATAGGATAGCGGTAAATTCATTTACGCACGATCGAAGACGTAATTTTATTTCCGGGGCTCCGTCTCTGACCTCGTCTCGTCTGAAGTCTCGTTTCACGGCTATCCGAGTTTGATTTACATCCGATCCCTTCCTCGTAGTCGCATTTCGATACGCGGCGGAAGAAACGTAACGCATTGCCTGGACTCGAATCGCCTCCTAATTTTGTGAGCAACCAGGCGCGAGCTAAATTGAAATTTATCTATGAAGCGATCCGAGGCCTCGGCAGTGCCGTCGCAAACGAGCTTATACAAAATGCGCCTTTTTTCGTACGTGCGTTACATCCCTTTAATTTTCGACTCCCGGAAAATTGTATTGCTGCTTAATAATTCTGAAGATACTTTCCATTTTCTTTTGATTTAATACCTTAACGCGGATATTATTTCGTAAAAGATAACGCTGCATTAGTATTACGGTGCGACGATACATTCCTTGCAAAAGTAGATTGGTATCGACATTTGATTTTGCTACACAATTTCAATAAACTGTTGAAATACGTCGAACAATCTATTTCAATCGACTATACTCAGCACTTCGATTGTTTCTTTATAAAGAAAGCTTCCTTGAGAAATCCTAGCTAGTATGGAAGCACACAGGAAGCGTGCCTAGTACATAAGAGTGTGTTTCACTCAAAGAGTGAACACATTTTTATAGATCGTATATGCTACCATAAATAAAGTTGCAAACGATAAATGGGATTTCCTTATTAAGCTGATTAAATTCAATTTTCTTCTCCCACTTTATCATTCTATTCATATATCATTTTGCTAGCGATAAATTTACGTTTTATAATAAAAATGTATTTATAAAAATGTATTTATACTAAATTAACAACTAATCTACATCGTATTAAAATTTATAAAAGCTCCTGCTGGCTCGATTGCCAAGTCCGTATTGACAGTACATACACTGGCAAAATTGTGAACTATATAGCCCGGTTGTACCAGCCACGTCACAATATAACTTTAACCTTAGCTTAACTCACTCTCTCTTCATCTCTTTCTAACTGTCGCTCTTAAAGCGTCGTCTACAATACACAGAGTAAGCGTAAAGTAAGGAGTAAGAGTATAGGCATAAGAGGGCTATTTTCGGTTTAAGAGAGCTGGCGTAAGGGTGTAAGCGAAATAAATTAATTTTATTTCTTACTCCTACTCTTATTCTTACACTTACGCTCGGCCAAGACCCAACAGGCTATACGCTTAATCCTGCCTATACTCTTACTCCTTACTTCAAACTTACTCCACGTATTGTAGACCGGTCCTTAGGCCTAAAAAGCGTGAAAAATGACGTTAAAAATCTAAATTATTCTTACAACGTAAGTTATTTTTCGTTTAGTGCAGTGTTTTTATATTTATAATATTTGTCGTACTGAGACTAAAACATCTGCTGACGGCGATCCATGATTTTTGCTCGGTCATTGCGGCGCGCAAGAGCTTTGGCCCGCAAATCCTGACGAGAACGTTGGTGCCCATCGTTGCGGAATTTTGTCTTGTATAAATTCGCGAAAGAAATTCTCGGTCTTTTGCGCGTTTCGACAGAAGAGGCAGAAGAGAAATAAAGACAAGAGAGGAAACGAAAGTAGAGCAACACCGAATAGAGCAAGACGTGTTCGCTCTTTGACTTTACGCGAGCAAGTAAAAAAATTTCAAACAGAGATGATCTATCGCTCTTATTAGTATTGATCGATACTAGTAGAGTGCGTAAATGCGATACACAAGAGTACTGTATGTATCTTGTAATTCCATTGCTTTAAAGCTAGTATAATTTTAAGGGAACATATATGTATTAACTAACAAAATAATTTTGTCATCTCGCAATATTACTCATTCACGCAGGCATTTATATTATAAATCATACGAAAAATTTTGCACAAGTTACCATACCATTGACCAAGCCTGAAATAATTAACTGTAACAGTAAAGTGATTGCAATTAAATCAATTTTTTAATAATTTACGAGTTTAGCGGAAACTTGGTTTGGAGAGCCAAAGTGTGTTTTTGTACATTCGTATACCGGCGCTTGCCGGTTACATTATTACATCAGCGCACTCACTTTCACCTATTGAGGAATTGCGCGCTTTACGAAAAGTACTTATTTCTAACAAAAACATTATTATTTTAATGTACGTCAAGAATTTTCATGATGCGGGTGCATCGATATCGCCCCGGGAAATTGCATCGTCCCTTTGTATTTGACGATTTGCGACGACATATTGTCGACCAACGAATTTTGCAATGCTGACCTTACGGAAATGACAGCGTGGCTGGACTTTTATTGTTTGACGATGGTGTAACTGCATGTTATTAATTTTATTTCTGCGTCACTGCAGAAGATCCAAACAAAGGACCAAAAAATTTGTAAAAGAAAGCAAACAACAAGTAGAAAATTATATACCTTTACACGAAAATTCCTCCATCACTAAACTAACTGAACCACCATATTGTTATAAATGCCCCTATTGTGGCCAATGTTATCCATCTACTCTTCAAATTCGGAGCTTAAGAGGTCACTTGGCAAACATACGTGTAAAAAAAGTATTTCATTTATGTAAAAAATAGATACTAAGAATCGACGAATGTTAAATGTATGATGTATGAGACATTTTTCTCGCTTCAGTCATCAATTCAATATGGCTGCAATGAGTGAACAAGAGCCTTAATTAAAATTGCTTAATATCAATAAATTATTGTCAATAAAATAATGCAACAATATATATATAATTTGAGTGTACGAATCATGCTTTAATTTCTACGAAATATCTGCTATATTTGAATTTACGATTTGTTGGATAATTGTCTTATTACTAATTGTTTTATCACTAATTATCTTATTACTAGTTTTTCTTATTACTTCAGTAAAATCCACTCTCAAAAAAGCCATGTAAGAAATTTAATACAATAAAAAGCAGCAATGCACAATGCGAATTGTCTGGAAAAAAGCAATAATGCTATCACGGATTAAAATAAATTAACTAAGCTGCAATTATACATTTAATCCTTAAATCGATATGCAACTCTGTATAATAATTATACAGAGTGTTCCAAAAATTTCTCCTAATTGCAAATTTTTAAAATAATTTTAAATATTTCTTTTAAGATTAGAAACTTAGATATCATCTTTTACTATACAACCGTTTAATATTTCATTCTTATAGTTTTCATGATAAAATCGAGGATAAAATTTAATTCAATTTTAAATAAAAATATACATTAAAGTGTATCCTTAAAGTAATCTTAAAATTAAACTGTTGTTATCCACTGGTATGTTTGAAATTTAATTTTATAATCAGTAAAAAAAAATATATTTATTGATAAATTAAGAGTAACTCTTCGTTCCGTTTATAATTTGTAGAAAAGAGCGTGTAATTCTCTTTTTAGAACATCTTGTATAAAGTTTTAATCTCTCCTTACCGAACCTCTCATCTTATGAAGACTACTTCACATCTCGTCTTTAATTAACAGGTGATGCCATTATTACAATCTGACGGACAATCCGCCGCGAGACAGCTGCCGAGATGTGCGTGGGGTATCATTGTTAAATCGTGCGTAACATGCGACGTACTCTGCCTAATGTGTCGGGAAAAAATTCAGTTCATCGCGATAATGACGATGTAAGTAGATCATGATCTGAGATATTGATATTAACGAGCGACACTCATTATTAACGCGCCAGTGACGAAAAAGTATCCCCCGAAGCGTCATCGCAAAACCGTCCGTCGTGCTCCACGGGGATGGATCTGCGTTAATGTACTCGAGTTAACTTCGTGTATGAAGTTCGAGATATTCGGGGTATCGGAGACCACGTAGTGCGACGATTGGACCGACGGCAACGGCGGAACTTCATAATATACAGTGATTTTATACGGAGGTAACGTGATTTTGCGACGAGACGTAATTCGCTTATCATGCAATATCGTGCGACAAAGGGAGAAGCCAGCACCGTCTTCGGCGTAATTGCTCCGGATTGCGATAAAGCGTCAATGAGTCGATAGAAAACCGCCCAGTTCAGCATTTGGAATCATGTGAGATTAATTTGAGTATTCATCTGCAACGTGAACGAGCACACTATCATTCTTCCTTGAGTGGCACATTTATTTAATAAAGCGCCAAAGAACAATAGATTGTCTTTATGAGTGCTACCGTAATCTGCTCTGACGAAGTAGTTCCGTTTAATGTAATATCTAAAAAGATCGTCGGGTATAGGCCTTACACCGATTATCTTGATGGCCCTTCATGCCGCTTTTAATTAGTTTTCTGACCAGTTGTAAATCGTCCAGAGTAACAACTCTGAGTTCGTGTAAACTCTGAATGTTCTTCCATGTTGAGTTCGCGTCGCTTCCTTCGGTACCAAATAATACCACACCCATCCAATCCTGCATACTCCATGCTAGCTTCTGCCGAAGAATTTGCTTGTACAACTTGAAAAACTTTTGGATATGACTGAGCTTGGTCTCTGGTTCTATCTCAAACATCTTCTGTGTAGCATCGACGAGAAACAATGTGGCTTCTCTTACTCCGTACCATTGACTCGCTTGTAAATTGTCTTCCCCATCCGTATTGTAATCTTGTACGAGTGCCATTTCTCTAAAGGGATTGAAACGTCGATGTCACAAAGACTAGAATTCTGCGAATCTCTGACAAATCTACACGAATCTATGACGTTCTTATCTTTATATTTGTCAATGAAAAAAAACCACATTATGTGATAAATATTACTGAAAACAATATGGTTTTTATGTAACAAGTTATTTGGTGATATGTACCATATAAATTGGTAATAATCACTAACCCTTGGAAAAAATACTAAGCCTTGCCATAATTATTTGTTAATATTTACCAACTTATTTGATTAAATTCATTTAACATTAAGTTGAAACTATTTCACTAAAGTAGTTATACAGTAAGGTTTGATGATTGTTACAAAATTTTTTTTCAGTGTAGATATAGTATTAGATAAATTGTCTTAGTTAGTACAGATCTATGATTATCGATACTACGAAATATCCGTCTTTTTAACGTTATTGGCCAAATTATAAGCAATATTAAAGAAAATCTCAAGAGTAGTTTTCCATTGGAAGAAATCTTGAATGGGACGGAAATAGTCTGAATGCCGGAAAAGGCGCATCTACCTTAATAGAAGATAAAATCGTCTTCGCTGAAAACTGCCAATTGCGAAAAGTGGTCAAAATTTGCGATTTACTCCTTCGCAATTTCCTTTCGATTTGCGCGAATCGTATTTTGTCCACTTATCTTCAGGGTTAGTTTTGAGATGCTTGCGATGAATTCAATTTTATCATTTTAGAGATTTTGAGCACACGAATAATGTTCGTTTATTTGTTATTACTATTTAATTTTGACTTACTCGCTAAACACAGGAAAGAAGGATTTGCTACCATACGGACAACATTTTTTGCTGCGAGAGCTAATTAATTTTGAAATAATAGTAAAACCTTTTGCTGCAATAGCAATGTTAAGCAAAACTTTTTGCTATTGCAACAAAAGGTTTTGCTATTATTGCAAAATTAATTAACTCTCGCAGCAAAAAATGTTAGTTGTCCCATATTTAACAAATAAACTTGCTGTTGCAACAAAACTATTTTTTTCCGTAAATAAATCACTATAGTGATTGTAAAATTTGATTGTACGCTTTTTTAACGTTTAACATATTTATTTTAATATAGGTACGTAATACAGAAGTGATTATTAACAATAAACACTTTAGATCATAATTTATTAACTAAAAATCTTTTTATATATATTAATTTTATTGGTGAAAGAAGAAAGTTATACATATAAAAAGATTATGATTTATTATTTTATTCTTATACGAAGATTTTTAATAAGATATAGAAAAATAAGAGAATATTCTCCTAGGATAAGAGAAGAAGATAATACAGATAAATATAATTTCACCGAGTAGTAGCTAGTGCTAGATTTGTATCAAGTTAAGTACTTATGAGGATATACATATGCGAAGTTAATTTAAAAGATAAATGAAGATTTAAGATAAAAATTATACGTCTAATAATTTTAGAAAATACTTTCCCTTCAGAGAAGTTTGATTGAGTGCTAAAATCAGTGGCATTATGTAATTTAGTAGTTAGATATTATAGTATTAAGTTAGTAGATAGTTATAGTATTAAGAAGATAAATTTTATAAAAAAAACTATATGCGAGGAAAAGAGAGAGCAATATAAAAAATGCGTTTACTTGTTTTTTAAACAAATGACATTTTATTCAAATGTTGCCGAGATGTGTAAGTTCTTTTAAAGATTTTTGTTTTGTTCGTCCGAAATTACTTTCAACGTCAACCTTTTTTTCCGTTTTTAACATGTGACATTCGCACGATTGTATCAAGTACAACGGTCCTAATTGTCGAAGTTTTCTATAGAAAGCTTCCGTTTCGTCTCGTTGAAACTCGCTATCGACTCGACGTTCGTTTAGCGCAATACAATTAACCGCATTAATTACAGGCTTTTAATAGTACCTCCCCCGTTCTACGTTCCGCGCGCGCGATGCCCGCTTCTCTTTTATTCGTAATAACTCGGTTACCCCACGCTTTTAGTCCACCTAATTTTCACGCTCGCCCTCTGAAAAGGCCGCGGCATCAAAGGCTATTGCGACTTTCAACTCTGTCTCGCGCGCGCGTTCACGGTACTTTACCCTATTTTTATTAAGAAGCGTCGCGTAAGAATTTCGCTGTAAAGCGAATCGAAACGCAATTCTGATGCATTATATCTCCATCGGACACTAGTCTCTCTAGCCTTTGATTTAACTTAAGTATGATTCAAACGAGAGAATTCTTTCGATCCGGCACTCTCTTGATAAAATCGTATCTCTCTCTTTTTCTCCCACGAAGTGGAAAGAATTATCGAATAATAAGACCGATGAGCGTGTTCCTGCGTCCGATTTTTACGGAGTCCCGTACGACACGGTTGGTATTGCGAGATAAGAGTCGCTTGAGGGCCGAAGAGGCAGAAGCCACGGGGATCTGTACGCACGCATACGCAAAGGGCGGGTTATACATCTACGCCGCTGACGAAGTCGAAGATTGATAGCGCGGGTGAGGGGGAAGGGGAGAAGGAGGGAGTGGGGGTGAGAAGGGAAAAGAGGTGGAGAAGGATAGACGGATGGAGAATTGGTATGAAGGGAAAAGGAGCGTGAGAGAGTCGGGGAAGCAATCAGCATTTTCCTGAAAGCCAACTCCCCGGGGTCCGCGCGCATTATTCTTGGGAAAGACCGCTTCCCACCCGTGCCACTTATAAGCTCCGCTACCTTCCGCCATGACTGACTCCCTTCTGATTCCGCCGTCCGACCCCCTGTCTCCCCTATTCACCATCTTCGCCCTCTCCTCGTTCTCTTATCTTCTTGGTAATTACGACAAAGAATGACCGCAAGACGCGATTCTGTTTGTACTGGGCTTTCGTACCGGCGCGCGATGGGATGTTGAACGTTCCGCGTCTCCGTAACCTGCTGGCTATTCCCATCGGAAACATCCCCCGATCGATCTAACGTCGTATGCCTCCCCATTCCTGCGGAGATTCTCTTTTTTTTTTCTCCGTGACCGCCCGCCGATTTGTCGCCCGTCTTGTTCCCGCCGCGAGTCGCGCGATAGATGTGCTTACTCTTCTGAAACGCGACGGCATATAAAAAAAAAACCATTTTAATCTCTTTTTGTACCAGCTGCAGTTGTCATTCCTCCTGTTGAATATTTACTGGCGGCGAGGAAAACTTCTCTATTCTCATTTTGTTCGCGGAGAAAAGTGTATATCAAAATTGATGTTGCGCATCTATTTTTATGTATCTAACACGACAACGTAATGTATGTATGCTTTATTTCTACCTTCTCTTGTAATGACACAAAATACTCGTAATGTATTATCTAATAAGCTCGACGTAATCATGCGTTATTGTTAGCGCGAGATGCGAATTTCGAATGAAGCGTTTACGCAAAGCCGACAGTATATAGGTGCCGAGATTCTGAAGAGGCGGTTGACAGGCGGTACGAGTCGTTGAAAGGGTATGACGTGGGTGATCGTTTTGCGATTGACAGCACCTCTCGGCAGCGGCGAGGTTGATGAAGTGGTTTTGCGGGGATCTGCCGACTCATCGACGCTCGTTATGTCGACTCGCGTGCGGAGTGCGCGCCCTGGCGTAAGTGTCGTACGCGATACGGCAGATTACGCTATCGTACCGCATACACGAGATCAACTGACCAAAAGTTTTCGTCGTTTGAGCTAATAGAAAAGTCGTGTCCGCCGTCAGCGCACGGGATTTATTGTAAAACGTGACCACTCTGCGTAGCCGGCCGTTTCCGCGTGCGAATCGCACGCGCGCGCGCGGTCGCCGGAATTTTTCACATATAATAAAGAAAACAGAAAATTCCGTCGTTTCGCAGTAACACGCTCCGAAATAGAACTTACTTTCGCGCGAATGGGGAAAACCGACGGAGAAATCGTCACGGAATTTTGATGCGCGAAGCAGCAGTAAAAATTGTTGAACAATTCTTGCGTGTCGCCGCATTTTCTTAATAATTATTATTATATCCGCTCATAATTACCGATGTTAAATTGATCTTGCGGATACAATGACAGAGTTATAGGCAACAACGAGGGTTGGAAGGGAAGCAGTCCTTTAAGTTTCTCTTCGCTGTTCCGCAGACGAAGTTGCGTTCTACGTAGGGTTAGTTCCTACTTTAAGAACCAATTAGTTCTGGTTGCTATATATTGCTGTACTGAATGTACCGCTTTTGCCTCTCGACTCGATTATTCACAGATTCTTTGTGCATCGACCTCCTTTGAGTTAATATGAGGCTATCGTTTGCAATATTCCTTTAACTTTTTATTTGCTATTATTTCTATCATTCAATATTGATTAATAACATTCATATATGCAAGAAAGAAAAATTAATTTTAACATTGATATATTTACATCTCTGTTAAAAATATTATTTTATGAACAATTTTTGAATATGTAACGTACTTCCAAAATTAATGGGCGAAGTAATAGTGTAATAATTTTCGATAAAATTTCTGTGAGAAAAGAGAGTAAACAATAACCGATTAATTACAAATAAGAAAATTCACGAAAATCGATCGACGAAAGGCTTGGAAAGAAGAGAACGAAGACGCGAATAGAGAGATGCAGATAGCTTAAAGGGCAAACTGTTGCTTTAGGTCTCAACAAGTAGGTCAACGACCGAACCACTGGATAGAGATTTGGGTATCTTTAATGTTGTCCGTGGCTATGTGTGCGCGAGGTACACATATTCTCGCATTCAGTCAACCACTCGTTTTTCTCTTCGTATAAACGCGCTTTTCTCTCTGAAAAAATTCTTCGACATCTAGAACTGCGTAGCACGCGTCGCTCCCGTCGCTTCGCAGTCTTAATTAGCAACAATCGAATATTATCGGTAATATAAAATTTTATTTTTAATACTTAACCCTCAGGTACTCGCGTTAACAGTTTTTCGTACGCTACGCGCACATTTACACGTAGACGATCGCGATAATCGTTTATTCCGCTTTTATAGCAAAATGGACTATAATACTGTATCATAATGCCTGATGTCAGACGAGGTCCTCATTCGGATGATAAAAATTTACATGATAAAATTTCTACTCGGGATGTAGCATAAGTTAAGATTTTGTAATCCATTAATAACCCTATTCACTCCAACCATGCCCTTTCGTGTCCCACGAGTTTAAAACAGTCGTTTTTTTTTGTGGAAAAATTATCGTGGGATAAGAAAGTGCATGGTTGGAGGATTAAAGGGGCGGAAAAAACGTTGAAGTGAATAGGGATAATATTAAGTTGACTAAAGTTTCTCATTTATAAATATCTCCATATATTAAGTATATTTTACTATAATATTACAATAATTTTACAATCCATCCATCCTCAGTCCTATTACTCGTGTCCGAGCGTGGTAACTTCTCTTCATATACATGTGTTGCGCACGTAGATTATACACATTGTATATGGAACCTACAGTTTAACGCCGATTTCGAACGGCAATTTTTTAGAGAAGTTTTCATGGCAAGACATACTCTCGGTGGTTTGCCATTGCCTGCCGAGAGGAGAACGAGCGAATAAAATTTTCTAGCTCTACCGGGAATCGAACCCGGGACCTTTGGCTCAGTAGACCAGTGCGCTGTCTACTATGTCCTGTTGACACACTCTCTTTGCATTAATTAGTGTTCGCAGTGTCCAATAGACTACAATGTCCTCTTTTCGAATCTGCGCGAGAAAATCGACAAGTGTAGTTGGTTTAACGAGAACCTGATGGAAAAGTTTTCGAAGGTAAACGCGGTAAAATGTCAACGCAATACGGGACTCGATTGTCCAACTTCGTGAAAGGCCGTTCGGTCGGGATCCATTGACTTCTCGTAATTTCTATTTACCCACTTTGATCCCTGGCAAGAAGAAAATACGACGAAAACTACGTGTTGCGAAACGTGAAATATCACGCGTCGTTTTTAATTAATCTCTCACTGTCTGTTTTATCAATGTTGTAGAACATCAGAGGAAGGATAAAATTTAAGAATGGGAGGTGGAGACTGGAGTGGTTGGTTGCAACGATGCCGGCAATCCCGGAGGCTCGTTCTTGTCATCGTCGCCATCGCACTGCTGCTGGATAACATGCTGCTGACGACCGTAGGTAAGTGGCCTTTTTTTTTTATCAGTCTATAAATATTTCTACTTATTATATCGTACGTTAGTATTAATTAATTCTGACTTCATATTAAAACAATTTTAACATATTATTAATCATTGCTTAATTTATAATTGTCAATTTTCTTTTACTCAGCCAGATATTTGTGCAATATTTTGCATCGATTAACTGCTTTTGGCAACTGTATTAAACTCTTATTAATTTATTTTAAAATATCATGAAAATTAAATTTAAGCTGATCTGGTTCCTTCTGGCAGTCTCCTTTTTCAGATTTTAGAGTTGCCTCTTTAAGCCATAACTTTAAGTTCCAGTAGGTCAAGTATTCAGAATCATTAACTTCATTGCTCTTTCTCAACCGTGGTCTTTTACGTGGTTCGTTATAAGATTAGCGGACTTCAAAAAAAATTAAATCATAATATTCTACTGAAAAGATATCTATTCTACTCCAAATATCTTACTACATAAAGTATAACAAAAGAAAGATACTCTATTGGATATTATTACGATTAATATCGTAAATAAATGTTAAGACAAAAATATGTTAAGACAAAGTATAAGTAAAAACAAAATTGTAGAAGTTTTATTAATTAGACTAATTTAATGCTTAATCTCTTCAGGGACACGTATACATAAGCAACATTTATTTTTTTATTTTTTAATTCTAATATTGCTGACAAAAAACAAGCAATATTCATCATAGTATTTTTAATCTTTTTATTTTCTTCAATTGACGTAGATTTAAATCAAATAAAATTTGAAATCAAAATTTAAATCATTTTCTTCTAACTTTAAAAGTTTGTCTCTGATTAATATATTATTGCACGGTTATTACTGTTTTCCTAATTTTTAATACCCTTACCAATCCCTCTTTAAATTCTATCGGCGGCCACCGCTTTTCTCGGTCCGCAAACTTATGTTTAATTCAAAAAACGTTCGTTTATCGCACTGGACCGGAATGTCGAAAGAACGTATGGACTTTTGTGTATCGCGCCGCCAATCCGGATAAGTGGTCATGCATTTATGCAGCGCGATCCCGTAAGAAATACACGACCTACGAATGTCGTCACACTTGTCGAACAAATCACGGAATCCACTTTCAATCGTTGTAAAAAATTGTTCTTTATTAATTATGTGTCTATGCGCATGTGTCTATGTGCCTATGCTTCATCATTAATTATGTGTTTAGGCTATATATTGTAATTACAGTAACGAATGAAATTCAGTTTTTATTCATACTTCTGAATCCTATTTTAATAAATTTACCTTTAAAAATCTTTGCTTATAAATAAATTTTCAATAGATACTTTTAAAATCATTAAAATTTAGGTTGTTATAATAAGTCCTGAGAAACTATTCGAGACGAGAACGTTGTAACAAAAAAAAACGAAAAAAAAGATGCTTGGAGGTGCTGGGATTTGAACCCAGGACTTTCAGCATGCGAAGCAGACACTCTACCACTGAGTTACACCCCCGATTGATAAGACAGTTTTTAAATGTGTTCTAGACTGTAAACTGCTCTGCCTTTATTCCCTTTTTCTATAAACTTGATATCGCACAAGATGGAGAGACTAGTGTTTTTATTCGTCGTTTAATTTTAATAAATCTCCAAATAATGCGACTTAATCTTATATTATCAAGTATACAGGGTGTCACCTAATTCGCGCCCACTATTTATACAGTAATATTCCTTATCAAAAAATGAGTCAAAAAATCAATTTTTTTCTATAATTTTTAGTAAAGCAGTAATTATTGAGTAAAGTCAATCCACTCGGTGCCGTCCTTTAGCCGGCCGTACGTCGTCAGTGAGCCTGATGGTAGTATGAGTGAGCGCACACTACCAGGCGCGCGGCTCACTGACGTACGCCCAGCTAAAAGACAGTGCTGGTTAAATAGACTTTACTCAATAATAAAAATTTTACATGTATATATTACTATAGATTTCATAGCTTATCGATTTTCCAGATGATCCCCTATTTTTCATTTTGCATAAATATTTTAAAAACATTGCCTTATATGAATTCTTGCAGTTCCAATAATACCGGAATTTCTCTACGATATCAAACATCCTAACGCAACATTAAGCGAGCACCTGGAAGGAAGCGTATCTCATCAAACTACGGTCGTCACCACCACGTCGCCAACGGCAACAACAACGCCAAAATGCACTTGTGCTCCAAACATATCAGTTGCATCTCCATTGGAATTTTTACATGTTACGACTCCTTCTATGAATCTATCAGGTAAATCGTGCTTTGTCGTATTATTTCTTATTGCGGATAAATAACAAAATAATGCTCCGATAAACATTGCAAAGCCTATTAACCAGTTCACTGGTGGACCCGAAATAAACGTTTTGTGCCAAAACTGGTGAGCGAATAATTTTGTATTTTACATGGAAACTAGATGAGTACGTGAACAGCGTCAAAAGTAGTGACAACTTCCAGTGACAACTAATGATGTCTTTTTCATATGATTTGATAGACGACAATAACTACTTATACCACTATATGTGGTCAAGCAAACTAGCCCATATGAAGAGTGTATGAAGTTCGCATCCCTACTTTAAAATTTTTTAGTTCTGATTAGAGTTCTAGCTTTTTTCGAAGAGCATAAGAGTATTTTTATGTTTATAAAAAGAGTTCCGGCGATTAACACTTTGAAAAAGGCAATTGATAATTTAAACAACTTAGCGCCGACTTCAAAAATTGAAAGCAATTCTTAAAAGTATTATCCATTTTGCACCGATTTCAAAAAATTGAAAAAAATTCTTAAAAGTATTATTTTATACTTTTTAAAGTTTTTTTCAAATTTTTTTTTAATTTCTTAAATACTTTTTAGAGTTTTTTTTGTAATTTTTTTTATTTTAAAACGCATTTTTTTATTTTATACTTTTTTAATGCTTCATTAAATTAATACGAATAATTATTATCGCATATTTCTTTACTGTGCCGTATTACTTATATTTTACGTTTCCGTATATTTTATGTACTAAAACCTTCCTGGAAAATTGCTCTAGAGGACAGTGAAAACCGCATTTAAATCCGTCCAGTAGTTTTAGAGAAAATCGTGGACACATACACGCCGAATATAAAACCTCCTTTTTTGAAGTCGGTTAAAAAATAAAATGCTAACTTCACACCCAACTTTAAGACCGAACAGTTCTGAGTAGCTTATTTGATTCCTTTCGAAAAATTCTAAAATTCCTGATAAATAAAAAATTGCAAAACCTTAAAATAGTTTTAAAAAATCATCATCAAAACGCAAATAATATTCACGGTAATAAAAACTTGACAGATGGTTCGTCCTGGCCATCTTTGGAGTTGTACAGCTTGAATATAACATAAGCCATAACATAAAAAGAAGAAGAAATATAAACTTTAAAGGAAACTTATTGAACATATTAGACATGGTCTAAAAAAAAAGCCGTTCGAAATCGGCGTTATAAACTGTAGGTGTCATTTTGACACCATCAGTTTATACAGACCTTATGCAGACCTTCGAAGTCGAATATCTTCTTAAAACTCCCATCAAAACACCTGCAACTCTACCACTAACTAATGGCGATGCGGCCACTAGTTAACAAGATATTCGAAGATGCAACGGAATGAAATTCGACTAAGCCCCGTTTCACACGTATTTGACACTGGACTACTGACGCCGGATATCTTATCGCGAAGTGTATGAATTAATATGAAAGCATTTACAGGTTTGTCCGATAGACGGTTGTAAAAACAAAGAAGATCGATCGGATACCCGGCATCGGTAGTCCGGTATCCGGTGCCGGATACCTACGTGTGAAACGAGTCTAAATCTTTCTGTCCGTAAACGGTACAGGCACGGCACGATTATGTCTAAATCGATCTTAAATCCGAGATATATTCACGGAGAGTTCGTCATACAAGTAATATTGATATAAATCTCGCAGCATCGATATATTCGCGTATAATCGACTAAAGATGCAACGATAAAATTATCGTAAACAATATCAACGAGTAAAACGCATAATTTAATGCATTAAGTACAGACATTCATGGCGTGTTAAAAAGTTAAAGAAAGTTACGAGCAACGTGCGTAACTTTCTTTCATTTAAAAAAGAAATGTATAATTTTATGAAATAATAAAAAGGTCTTTTTCTATGCGGCTAATTCACTGCAAATCCAAGTGTGTTATTTTAACTAAAGCTCTTCTTACACATTTCTTTTCGTTTTGAATAATGAAACTTAACACGGTTCAACACATTAATATGATTAAACATGTTGATTTAACACACAACAAAACATGTAAAACGAGCTTCAGTCAAACGTGTCATTTTTAAACGTATATGCGTGTAGAAATAACACACTTGGATTTACAGTGTCTGATAAAACGGCTTGCAATTACAATTAATTACAAAGTATTCTATACAAACAATCATTAGTCTATATACTCAATATAAATCAAAAATGGTATAGTTACTGTCCCTACACATTAAATATCAAAAGATAAAATTTAACTAATACCTTGAGTTAAATAACATTTTGTTCTTTTTAATTACCATGTGTCGAAATTTATTATTTTAACACAAATAATGTTATTTTAACTCCATTGACTAGTCAAATTAATAATTAAATTAACATTGTTTTAGTTAAATTAACCCTTTAGGGGCCACACATCGATCCCGTTTTTGTTTTGTTTGTTTTTTTTCCCTTTTTTTGTTTTTCTTTTTTTGGTTTTTGGTTTTTGGTTTTTTTTTTTTTTTTTTTTTTTTTTTTTTCTTTTTTTTTTTGTTTTTTTTTTTTTATATATATTTTTTTATGTACATAATTATGTACACATGTCCCTAAAGAATTAATGACATATTGAGTGGCAGAGATGGTCTTATTTCGCGTGGCCCTAATACCAGAAACGAGTTAACGCCGGCGAAACTGGAAACGATCAGTTAGATTACGTGATCGGAGGCATTGTTGGCCGTGTACCAAACCCGCGGCCGACCGACCGATCGCTCGCCGATCCGCGTTAAGTACGCGATCGCGTATACACGTACTCATTCTCTTGAACCTACTACCGGTTATAACGCTGGCCACGGCGGCCTCGGTCCGCGTTGCGAACAGCGGCAAGACTACTACCTTTTGTAAATTGTGGCAGAAAGGAACGCGAAAAAAGTGGCGAATTCGTGTTAGAATCCGAAAATTCAAGTGACCTGAAAACTACGGTGGTGCGAGCACTGTCGTATTGTATCGAAGGAGTCAAGCTGTCTTAAGCCATTGATTCTCTGCACGAGTCTCTTTGGGCCTGAAGTCAGAGTCAGTTACTGGTCTAATGATGCGAATATATAGCCTCTCCCAGTCAAGTCATGCGCCCACCTCCCAGTGGTCTCGCTGGACCGCTGCAATGGGGCTGTTCCGATTCAGTACGGCTCGGTCGCAAGATCTGATGTCGGCTGGCCAGCGCGTTCTGCAGTAACCAAGTGGCGTCAATGGCGATCTGACTGCGCCTCTAAGAGCCTGTAGTGATACGGGCCCAAGTACCGCTGGTGAGTTGTGGAGCCAAGAAAGGGCACGGTTATCTGGAAAGCTCTCGGCTGTCAATCCGTTTGCTCCCCAACACGCAGTAAATATAAAGAAGTTAAGAATAAATCGTCACGCCCGGGTTCTCAGATGGTCCGGGCACTGCACGCACGATGCGAGATTGATGAATCGGTTAGTGCAGAGGCACCCACTGACTGCGTAGATGGCTCCTCGAGAGTAGGCGCTAGTTATCGGGTATAGAAACGATTACACCTCTTGACGCACGAGACTCATGCCACGAGTACCCGTGGCCCCCAATAGCTTTCTTCTTCTTCTTCTTCTTTGTAAATTTTATGGCACCTAATCCTCCTCAAGATCACATAACGGTCAAAAACAAGTCGAATATAATAAATACAGACTCGAAAGATTCAATCCAAACTCGGCGCTGATTGCATCAGCAATCTTCTAAAATTATTCAGAACAAAACACGTCCGAACATGTCCACAGTCTCGACGAGGCTTGCCCCCAGTAGTCGTGTCAAATTAAAATAGAAATAAATAGTAATTAGTTATTTCGTGAATGGATATCCATATGTGTCAAACGCAGTGCACGGGTACTGCGTTTCAAGCATGCCCGGCGCCGGGGATCGACTCGTAACGGTGGCGGGATTCGCGTCCGCTTCTCCCACGTTGCAAGGCCGGCCAACTTCGACTCCCCGGCTAAAATAAAAGATAATCGCATGCTTTAATAAGCTTGGAACCCTTAAGAAGGGGGGGGGTCGTTTGGCAGATTCGATTCGGAGTCGTATGTCAATGAGACTCCTTCGTCGGGACTGGAATACGATTGGGCCTGATGATCAATCGAATGATGCTTTCGCTTGAACCGTGACTGACCCATCTCACAAAAACCCTTTACAAATGGATTGTTATTGATCTTCAACTTCGCGATGTTCTCGTTTTGGTATGCCGTCACCGCGATAAATTCCGTCTCCTTGAAAGCAAACAACGCGGTTGAATGAGTAAAGAGCTCGTTGTAGTTCTTCACATCGAAGCAACGGACTATCCAGATCCTAGGAACGTATTTGTGCATCGATGTTAATACCACGTTATTATTGAGGTCGTTGATGTTGTACGTGAGCTTCAATTTATTGAAGCTGATTGTCCATCCAGCGGCTTCCCGTTGCCGGACTCTCGGGATGCTTATAAATCCTATAGCCAAAGGGCTGCTGCGGCTCTGCCGGCCCCACGAAACTCCAGCCACGGGTATATTGCTGTTCTCGCCCCCGTTCTGGTATCCACAGTACTTGCGGCAGCGATAGGAAGCCGGTGCTATCTTCATGAAGACATAATAATTCTCACGTTTCTCTAAATCATTTACGTTTATTTGAACGGACGGAAACATGCGCATCAGCGCATCAGTGCGTAGCATCAGTGCGTTGTTTAAATCCTGAAGAAACATCTCCGATGAGATCGACGTTTCTTCTCCGATACCGTCAGTGTAAGATATAAAGCAAATACGAAAATGATCAGAACAAACGTATGTGTTTATGAACCTCTTGTCCTTTCTGCCGCAATTTATAAAAAGTAATATATAAGGTAACAACGTTCACATGATAATTTTTAATGCCATAATCTACTAAGCCAGTTAAAATAAATATTAACTCATTACGCGTTGTTAATCTATTTGTCGTAACTTTCTCTTTTTTAACCCTTTAGGGGCCACACATCGATCCCGTTAAAAGTGTTATAATCTATAAGGTAGTCTTAAAAAACGTCCCTTTTGAAAAATTTTTTTTTTCTTTTCCTTTTTTTTTTTTTACATAATTATGTACGCAGGCCCCTAAAGAATTAAAAATGTTCAGATACTGTCTGTTCCTTTTCCTGGTAATCTCAGTAGAGACATCCTGCACTTCTTCAAGCTTCTCACATATTATACATATTTGTCTTTCCGCTGAATCTCGATCAGTCAAACTCAAGATATTAAGATTCTCTAATGATTCGATAATATTCCAACAACGTTCAGACGAAGAAATTATTAAATTAATGTGTGTACAAATGGCAACAACTGGCTTCTTTTATGTACAGTTTACATTAGTGATATATATTAGCAATATTTAGACCCTGATAAAAATATGTGCACGGAAAGAACGGTTTTGCTGAAGCATCTAAAAATTTAGCTAAATATACAGATCAGAAAATAATTTTGTTACACCATTAAAATAATTATAGTAAGTCGCTGAAATAACGATTCTGTAAAAAAAATTTGACATTTTAGCGATCAGTTTAAGTTCTACATAATTATTTTGATCAACCAACAAAATTATATTCCAACAATATTATTTTCAGATCTGTATCTTGCTAAATTCTTAAATACTACGGATACAAAATTCGGTTTTGTGAAGCGCAAACGAAAGCAGAGACTTGCAGAGTTTCTTATTCACGCATCATGGAAATCCACGCCCTTAATCTACACATACGGAAAGAACAGTTTTCTGTTTAAAAATAATTTTGTTGCATCATTAAAATAATTATAGTAAGTCGCTGAAGTATGATGTAATCAGTTTGATTATTTTACATAATTATTTTGATGATGCAACAAAATTATTTTCAGATCTGTATCTAGCTAAATTTTTTGATACTTCAGCAAAACCGTTCTTTCCGTGCACTATTTTCTGTACACTCTTTACAAATATAGAAAGAGGATATCGAAAAATAAAAATACGTTAAGTCATTACAATGTTAAATTTACGTAAAAATCCATGTACACGGTGAATCTCGAGATTTTTCTCTTTTTCTCTCTCTCTCTCTGCGGTAACGAAAACTCACGTTTTCACGCCAAATCGCGTGTTACGATATCGTATTAAAACTTATAATAAACGACTGTTTCGGCCGAACTTCAACCGATGACATAATGTGCGCCTTTAAATATCAAAATAAAAATACATAATTATACTCAATGTATACAAAATAGAAAACAATAGACGTTTAGCTTGTACACGTAAGTGAATCTCGCGTATCATTAATGTATGTGTTATAAATGTGTGCCAATGTCTTGGCGCCTTTTTTTGCCTTTTTGAAAATTACATTTACGTGGTATCATTAACAAAACTATATTTTTACAAGCTTAGACTATTCAGTATATCCGCTGTAATCTACTTTTCATTAAAAAGTACTCTTTTGTGAACTATTCATCATCATATACTGTAGATATCAATAGATTCTAGATTTAGTAAAAACAAAAGATAAATGCTATCATTTATCAAAACTCATTTAACCGATAAGCTTAAAGATGCAATTAATTATATGGATTTAATTTTAATTGTCGTATACAAATCATCGAATTCTTTAATAAAAATTCAAACAAATTTATATTTTGTATTAGACATTTAATCATGATGCCTCTAATACAATATCTAAATTTGTAGAATATAAAGTTTATCTTTATTTTGCATATAATAGAAAAAAATATTTATTAATTATTTCTCGTGTGGAGAAAAATTATTTAATTTTCAGATCCAATTAAGGTATAAAGGTACTAATACCCGGGCACTTAAGACTAGGTAAATGTACCAATATGCCTGAACACGTATCTATGTCTGGATACCTTTAAAAAAATATAAATTTATGGAAATAAACGTTTGGATACTATAACTAAAGTTTCAAATTACAAAAAAAGAAATTTTTATCTTCGATTTTAATTCGCGTTATACTTATAAATAATAAAGGTGTCCAGATATAAGTACATGTCCGGGTATTGGTACTTTTAACTTAATTTCTAAATGTTGAGCAAAACATAATATATTAACTTCTTAATGGTTAGTTAAGATATTCGACTTCGAGGATGTAACGCGTAAAATTCCACTAAGTCCGCATAAAAATTATTTTAAAAGTTCTAGACGTTCTGATAAGAATTCCATTTTTTAGTAGAACTCTAAGAATTTTGAAAGGAATATCTATGATCGAAAACGATCCAGTTAATTCTGGCTCAAAATCAGATTTTCATTTTTTTTTGTTTTTTGAAAAAATCAAATATTTTTATCAGGAACTCTAGTCGTCAAAATTTTTCAGATGAGCTACTGAGAACTATTCGGTCTTAAAGTTGAGTGTGAAGTTAGCAATTAAATAAAATAAAAAATAATGAAAAAATTGGAAATATTATTTGGTGAAAATTAAGAATATTATTGTAATGACTGTTGCTTTTCCTTTGTTAGCAATATTAAAATTTTAAAAAGAATTAAACTTATATGTGCCCTTGAAGAAGTTAGAGCATGTTAAACTTAAACAATCTAGAAAATAATATCACATTTTAGAAAGGGATAGGAACACTTTTAGAGACGAAGAAGAGAAAACCAAAGACCTTCTTGATCAGTTACAAAATCTTTCGATACGCTCAATAGGACAAACGCTTCACTGATTTATTTTCCATTTTTAGAAATTACCGCAGCCAATCTCACATCGCCAGACACGAAGGAAAAAGAGCAGAGACATCGAGAATTACTAGAAGAGACCGTAGCAGTAGGAATGATGTTCGCTTCCAAAGCTTTTGTTCAATTGTTGGCTAACCCGATAGTTGGGCCATTGACCCACAAGTAAGTTTTGCACTTATCCAAAAATAAGACTATCTTTTGTTCGGAACATATTAAATATTAGATTAATACGAGAGAGGTTTGTTATGCTTCTGTTTCATCAAACCGAGAACAAAACGCTTTAAAAACAATTTTTATCCATCAAGATATATATAGTCACTATTAATACAAAAAAATTTTCCAATCTCTTTTTAAAACAATCTCTTTCTCTCTTTTTACCTCTCTATCAGATCAATAATTTTAAAATATTATTTATAATAAAAATAACGTGTTAAAATAGAATTTAATCAGAAAATGGGAAATCTTTCTCCTTAATCTAATGTCAATAAAGTACCGATGTAACAAGAAAAAATATTGCAAAACGTGATAACATTTAGTCTGCGTTTCGTTTATTCACATTGGGAGCTATTGGAAAAATAAAAAATCTTATAATACATGTTACGTGTATTATATATTTTATTTTTCCAATAGCTCCCAATGGGAACAAACGAACGCAAGCTTAGGTTGAATTTTTAAATCTGTTATTTGTTTTTAGAATCGGATACAGCATACCTATGTTTACCGGATTCATTATCATGTTCCTATCTACGCTGATTTTTGCTTTCGGACGAAGCTACGGTATACTTTTCCTAGCGCGAGCTCTTCAGGGTATCGGTTCATCGTGCTCTAGTGTTTCTGGTAAAAGCTTGTCTCTATTAACCCGCATTAACTTGGTGTTCACAAATGGCAATCTTATGAAATAACATAGAAAGAGTTTCCACACTCGTCAAGGCTATTTTCTCCCATTTCTACATAAGCATCGGTGGTTCAGTGGTAGAATGCTCGCCTGCCACGCGGGCGGCCCGGGTTCGATTCCCGGCCGATGCAAGAAAATATATTTTGCTCTAGCGTTTCTAGTTTCGGCAAAATTTTTCAAAAAAAAAAAAACGCACAAAAGGTTCTAATTTTTTTTTATTAAGCATTTAAATCTCGTTGCATAAAAAATTAAAATTAAAGTTGCAATGACAGTACAACTTAATTGAATTACGTAAATAAATTAACAAAATAAAATTCAAAAAAAATCGCACAAAAGGTTCTAATTTTTTTTTATCAAGCATTTAAATCTCGTTGCATAAAAAATTAAAATTAAAGTTGCAATGACAGTGCAACTGAATTGAGTTACGTAAATAATTAACAAAATAAAATTCAAAAAGATTGCATCGGCCGGGAATCGAACCCGGGCCGCCCGCGTGGCAGGCGAGCATTCTACCACTGAACCACCGATGCTGTTGCGACGTAGGAGCTCTTTCTCCAATGACGTAGTACGTGATTGTAATACTTTCCCATATACGATTCTCCGACAGGTATGGGTATGTTAGCGGAGAGATATCAGGACGACAAAGAACGCGGTAACGCGATGGGTATCGCGCTGGGCGGTCTGGCCCTTGGCGTCCTTATTGGCCCTCCATTCGGCGGAGTAATGTACGAATTTGTAGGAAAATCCGCCCCGTTTTTAATCCTTTCTGCGTTAGCCCTTGGCGATGGACGTGAGTATAAATGTGTAATAAAAACCACTTATCACGCGTAATTGACAAATTATGCTTAATTTATATTTTTATTTACAGTTTAGAAATATTTTCTGATATGCGTGATATTATACCCCACATTCGCTTATAATTTTATATTATCGCATTCAAAAATAAAAATTTCTCTTAATGCTCATGTTTCATAATAATTAATAATTTTTTGAAAAACTCTCAAGTATTGCAGCTTTTGATGCTTCAACCGTCGGTTGTGTACACGGAAGCGGAACCACCGTCGTTGAAGTCCCTTATCACCGATCCTTACATCATTTTAGCAGCTGGTACGGGAAATCTATATAGTTATATAAAATACCACGTTTCACGCTTCAAGTAAAAGATATGGGGGTACCATATATAAGGGTTACCGGTATTCCAGGGGCGATAACGTTCGCAAATATGGGCATCGCTATGCTGGAACCGAGCCTACCTATCTGGATGATGGATACGATGGGCGCAAGCCGCTGGAAACAAGGGGCGACGTTTTTACCGGCGAGCATCAGTTACTTGATCGGGACGAATCTTTTCGGGCCGCTCGGGCACAAAATGGGCAGGTCAGTCTGGCCGGGTATCTTGCCTCAAATACAAAAATATTCTAATAATGGCGTCCGAATAGCTCAGAGCATCACTCATCAGACTGACTTTTAATCTGAGGGTCCAGGGCTCGAGTCTCTGTTCGGGCGAAAATATCTTTTGCAAGACGGCCTAACGTTTTTATCTCAATATGCGCTTGTTACAGATGGCTAGCTTCCCTGATAGGACTCGTCGTCATTGGTATCTGCTTGATGTGTGTAAGTATGCTTACATTCTTACCACCGAGAAAGCGAAACAACTGCCATTTAACGTCACTTGTGTCTACGTTATATGACATAAAACGACGGAATTTCGTCGACGACTCGATTGAAATTACATGTGAATCGTAATGCAATAATACAGTGATAAAAATATTTATATATTTAAATGACTTACAAATGTATACATTTGTAAGTCATTCAAATTGAAAGATTTGTTAAAGACTCGAGAATCAGTAACCACGTTAATTGGACCGCGTTAAAATAAGCTTGTGTAATTAAAGCTCTTAAAATATTTCACTACATCAGAAAATGTATGAAAATTGGTTGGAAAACCGTAGTCTAGCATATTTGTTCACGCTTATACATATATAGCAATTCCGAATATATGAGTTATATTGTCACATACTTTTTGCGAATGACATAAAATAAACTACAATAAATAATTTTGACCTCCTGGTCGAACTGGCCAGACTACTTCACTATCAGATCAAGAATTTTTATTTTAACTTCATAAAATGGAAAGTTAAACTCGATGATGAGAAACCTAAGTATATAGCTACCTCTGTAGTGATAAAGTTTCATTATTTTATAAAATTAGTAAACAATTACTGATAACAAATCAATTCCTAATCTAATTTATTTTCATTTGTTTCGCAGATTCCGTTAGCAAGAAGTATCGATCACTTGATCGTACCGAACGCGGGATTGGGATTCGCGATCGGAATGGTGGACAGTTCAATGATGCCCGAGCTGGGATATCTGGTTGACATAAGGCATAGCGCTGTTTATGGAAGCGTTTACGCCATCGGCGATGTGGCGTTCTGCCTCGGCTTTGCTATAGGTATACATGTACATGACTAACTTCCGCGTATGTCTCTCACATTTTACTTTCTTTTACATGAGCAAACGCTCACTAATAAAAATTATCAAAAATTATAAAAAATCCGATAATTTGAGATAAAACGCCGAATTGGTACGTTTAATCTAGCGTTATGTGATAAGAATATATCAACAAAGTTCAAACCTTCAAACAACACGCAGTGATTAAATTTTTAAGTGCTGAAAACGTAACTGAAATTTATCGCCGTTTAAAGGTATGATAAAAAGACTGTTCACGGAATTAAAAGTAAAACTGAAGTATGCAGTGCCAGTTTGTTACACCCCCATATTATATTTAAAACTGCATTATGAGAAAAATAAAAAAGAGAAAAATATAAATAGTTTTTGAACCTCCTCGGTGACAATCGGCACGGCACTATTCCGTATATAAAGTGATTTTGACATATCCATGATTTTTGCTTTTAATTAGACATTACACAATCGCGAAATTCGCAGTGACGAAAAGGAGAGCTTTACGCGCGACGGCATTACCGCAGCTTCGAATTCGGCTTCGCGAAAGTCTTACCAAAAGTCTTTTTCAAGAGTTTTAAAGTCAACAAGTGTGAACTATGGCGGATTATGACGAGAATAAATGCCCAATCTGTTTAGAACCGTGGACCAACATGGGCGAACACAGTCTGTGTTCCTTACGTTGTGGGCATCTGTTCGGAAAGAAGTGCATTGTGAAATGGCTACGCGACTCATCGAATTATTGCCTACAGTGCAATAATTCAACATGTAAAATGATCTAATATTATCAATAACATATTCACTATTGTTTAAACTAATACAATCAGCAAAAAAAATTCGTGTAAATTTTAGTCTTAATTGCTTTTAAAAAATTCGTTTCTAGCAAATTTTATATAGAAAAATCCATAAATGTATGAAGTATGGGTTTTTACGTTTTTAATTGCCTAAGCAGATCATGTTTTTATCAGCATTCTACCACTGAACCACCGATGCTCCTGAGAAACAGTGCTCTTATTTGACTAATAAGGCCGTTGGTATCGCTTAGAGATGTTACACATCTCATATAGTAGGATAAAACTGTAAAATATAATAAATATATGAGATAAAGATTTGTTCTATAAGCAATAAAATATTCTTTATTTCCGCAGGTCCAGCGTTGAGCGGAACTTTGGTCAACAGCATTGGTTTCGAATGGATGCTTTTCGGCATAGCTTTGTTAAACTTCGCTTACGCACCTCTCATGTATTTCCTAAGGGCGCCGCCAACCAAGGAAGAGAAAAAGGTAAAATTATGTACTAGACTTCTTTTTTTTAATTAAATTTTCTTTAAAGAACTTCTCGCTAATTCTGAGTCGTGTCCAATTGCAGTCGTTAATAATTGGCGAGAAATCGTCCGTGCGTTATGTCACCTACCAGAACGAGGAAGAGGACCAGTGAAACAATAATTCTAAGCATTTTCGATATGATCAGTTATTTCACTCAAGACACATATTTTCTTTTCTTTCTTTTCCATAATTTATAATGTATCATTAAAAAGTAGAGATTGCCTTTGTATTATTACGTTTGAATTTTTATGTGTACCTTAATTTCCGTAATAATTTTCACCGACTGACAAGACAATAACATTTTCTTCCTCCTTAGTTTCACGCTTTCTACTTAGTACTGTCAAAATATTCATGTTCTCTTGTTTTAATAAAAAAATAGGAAGATACAAATATCGACAATAAAAGCACAACTGTTGACATGCACTTGATAAAACATTTGGCAAACTAACGTTTAAATGTAAAAATTATTAGTAACCAAGTGAAGTTTTCCTAATAGACAGTCGACAATTTTGAAAAGAAAGAAACGAACGATCGTTCAAGATAGAAGTCGCACAACACACACTTGGTATCTATAAAAGTATTAAATGTCTAAGAGAACTCGGGAGATCTCGCATTCTCGCATATTTATGAATAGAAGTAGCGTTACGAGAGTGAACACGTTGTGAAATGTCTTTCTGTATATTCTGCATCATCGATATTATTGTTACACACATATCGTATGTAACAGACGAGTAACGGTAGACTAAAGCCTAAAGCAACGCAAAAGTCGCGGAGGAAAAAAAAACAAAAAAATAGCTCGTTATACCGTAGCATGATAGCAAGAGATATACAGGGTGTCCGTAAATCGTGGGGACTTTTCTCGTATTTAGA